CCACTTTGGCTTTTTATTTTAAAACCTTTCTCAAAAGATTAAACTCTTGTCAATCCTTGTAGTGATGCAAACAACTATACTTCTACAATATATAATGAAGAGAGATATTTTCCACTTGGGTGTTAAGTGAGGCATTGTTGATTTTAAAATCCAAGCCATATCCTCCACTTTGAGATGATGCAAATTCTCATTTCTCGTGATTGTGGGTAGTAAGTATGTTTTCCATACGGACAATGACGATGATGCCTTATCTCATAAAATTAACCAACGCACTTGTGTTTTAAAATTTTTAAAAGGTGAACTACGTGTACCCTGATCCCCTATTGCACGAAAGGTGGTACGTAGGCACTAAAGGTTCGCAACTGCGACGGATGCAAAAATCATAAAAAAAATATATATTTCTTTTCTCACCTCCACCATCTATTTTACATACAACAATTTATAGCCAAAATATACAGATTTTTCAAAGAGGTTCCTGCGGAGTACCATAGATGTTTAGGGTGCTAATACCTTCCCTTTTCATAACCAACCCCCTTACCTAGAATCTTTCCCCCTCTTTTGGGTTATTCTCTCTTTTCTCATTCCTTTGGAAACAATAAAGCGTGGTGGTGATTTTTAATTTGATATGTATAAGTCTAGTCGATCCAATGGCTTAGTCTTAAACATTTCTACCACTACAGTACCTAACGGAGATGAGGCTCTAAGGAAACAACTCCTCTTGGTCCCATATCTTTTCTACCCTTCCTATGAATATGACACCAAGCCTTTTAAATTTTTTCCTTAGTTGCCTTGTGATCTTATCATTCTTTGAGAAAAAAACCACTAAGATGAATGTTATTTGGCTTGTCTCTCATTAGATATCCAAGTTGGCGTGCAAGAACATGATTATAGTTAATTCCTCCCTTTGTACCAAGAAGATGAACATTTGGAAAAACACCACAACTATCAATAATCTTCACTTTATAATAAGCTTGATGGTACAATCAATGTCAGAATGAGTGAGAGTCATAATCTTCGGTGCCCAACGTGACTCCTTCTTAATATCCCAAAAAGCAACAGACCGAGGTAGGTAAGAAATAAATCATTGATATAACAACGGTGTGCAACAAATGATCATCCCTTCCTGATAAAAAATCCAAAGATGGATAGAATAATAAGTATCTCCTAGCAGATTAGGGACTTGATTCTCAATCAGAAAGATCCTAATAGCATTAATATCCACAAATTTGTCGATGTTAGGAAACAAGAACAACCCATAGGAAAGCAAAGCAAAGATAGCCTCAAAAGCAATTGTACTCTTCATCTTAACAAAGTAACAAGATTTCTCCAATAGAAACCGAGCAGGTAAACCCCTGATTCCTCCTTTGGTAGTCTTGTTAACCTCATTCTTAGACTTTCTCAAGTGAGTAGCTGCTTCAATCTCATGAGACCTGGGTTCTCCTTCCAAGCCGGTGAAAGGAACACAATTAGTAATAGGTAAACCAAGTAAGTAAGATTAATCCTCCAATATGGGTATCAACTGATCATCAGGAAAGTGTAACACCGGTATAATGGATGATAGAACTGGACCAATGTGGAAAGAATACCCTCCTTCATATTGAGCTTCAAAAGAGGCACAATGACTCCATACTTCATCCAGAAATTTGTAAGACTCTCAATCTCAAGAATCAAACTCATATGTTCCTCTATCTTAGGATCCTTGAAATTGTACTTCCGAGTCCTTTTCCTTCCAAAATCCATGGTCAAAAGAGAACATGAGATATTTTCAAAAGTCAACCTTAAGTTCCTTGAATAACCGTTTAAAGAATACTCATGGGTGCATGAATGCATGATGATGCAACAACCACACACAAGATCACAAACATGAGGGTTCATAGGTTCAACGTCACGAGCATGAAGTCAAAGATATTACCCACAAGGTAAGGACTAATGTTTTATCACCTGCCAAACAAGGTTCTAAGGAAATCCCATAGTCTATATTCTTCTTTCGGATATTACTTACGTCTCGATTAGCTCGGTAATTAGCAACATTCTTAAGAAAAACTTGTATGAGTGTAACATAGCGTGACAACTACTTCCGGATTGCTCTGTTATAGTCTTCGCACTACACCTAAAAGGCCAATATGGGTTAAGGGTTCTACGGCTTCTCAGCTTCGTGGGCACCCAGGTCGAAAGTTGCACGTCTTCCTGATTGCTCGACAAACTAATACTACAGTCAAATGGGCCTCCACTGAGTGGAGGATCTCATATCTTCTTTTACAGAATTACTCCCTCAAAGTTAACATGACTATACTGCCCATCCTATCTTAGTTTTGCTCAAGTCCGAGTATAGGACTTATCAGAGATCACCAAGCACCCTGAAAATAAAAAAAACCAAGACATACATATATACAACAACTAATAGCACATACACAGATAAACAAAGATAGGCTCAACCCACTTAGACCTGTTCTTCCCCAACAGATTCGTCAGTTTTCTCTAGTGGTAGAAATATTGAGACTAAGCCATTTGATTGACTTAACTCGTACAAATCAAATAAAAATATCCACCGCGCTTTATTTTTTCCAAAGGAAATGAGAAAAGAGAAAATAAACCCAAAAGGAGGGGAAGAATCTAGGTACGAGGTTTGGTTATGCAAAGGGAAGGTATTAGCACCTTAAATATCTATGGTACTCCGGAAGAACCTCTTTGAAAATCTGTGTATTTTGGCTATAAAAAGTGTATACAAAAGAAGATGGTGGAGATGAGAAAATAAGTATTTTTTATAATTTTGTACCCTCCGCGGTTGCAAATCTTTAGTGCATACATACCACCTTCCGTGCAATAGGGGATCAGGGTACTCGTAGTTCACCTCAAAAATTTTAAAACACATGTGTGTTGGTTAATTTTAAGAGAAGAGACATCATCGTCATATCCGAGTGGAAAACATTACTTATTATCCATGATTATGAGATAGGAGCATTTGTGTCATCTCAAAGTGGAGGATATAATTTGGATTTAAAATCCATCACTCAACACCCAAGTGGAAAATAGCTCTCTTCACTACATATCGTAGAAGTATAGTAGCTCGCGTCACTACAAGAATCAACAAGAGTCTAATCTTCGAGAAATGTTTTAAAGAAAATCCAAAGTGGCCAAATGGTTTGAACGAGGTTAATGACTTTTAGTCTTTCAAAAAAAGATGTCAAAGTATGGTTAAATTGATTAAAGTTTTGATTAAGATTTTTTTTTGAAAATGCATGGACCTAAGTCCAAGTTTATTATAAAAGCGGTTCAAGTTAGAAAACAAAAAGAGTTTTGAAAAGGAGGGAGAATTTTTTTGAAATTAAAGAAGATAAGAGGAGATGAAGGGACTATCCTAAAGCATAACGTAAAAGTTAAGGAAAAGAACGATCTAACCAACAAGAAGCCAACACTTGACATAAGAAGTCAATGTAGAATTCTCATCCTTTGGATTAAAACAAAGCAAGCAAAAATACTAAACCTCTGAAGAATACCAAGGTTCAGATGAATTAAGAACCAAGCAAAGTCTCCATTAAAAAAAATTGGTCAAAGTAACAATTGTATTTAGAGAAATTCTCAATCACAGATAAAGCATGAAAATCAGAATAACCTGCACAAAAAAAATTCAAACCAATGCTTCGGAGTAATCCTAAAGGATTTCAAAAGATCTTCACAAAAATATCAACCAAAGATCAAAGTTTCAAGGTCTCAAGGCTTCTAATCCTAAGTCTCAGGAATCCACAACTCCACAGTGCTAGGGATAGTAACCAATAGTCAAAGTAACCTTAAAACTTTTAATGTTCAAGTTGATTATTAAGTGTCTTTAAAAGAAAAGAAAGCTCAAGTGAGCAAAGAAAAAAATGACATAAAAATAAATGCTCAAGTGAGAAAAAGAAAAAAAATGGCATGAGATGTAAATGCTATGAAATTCTCGTAATACCCTCGAAATCGGATATGCATATCTGAACTCATATTTTTTTCACAAAATACTTAATTTCAAATATGTATATCCAAACGAATCTCTGTTATTGTAAAAAAAGTATTTTTTGATATGCATCTCCGAATAACCTTTTTTTTCACGAAAAAAATATTTTCAGATATACATATCTGAAACATTCTCTAATGTATTTTTTTAGTAATTAAAAGCAGGATATTGATAATTAATATTTGATTTAATGATATATCTTTTCAAACACTAAAGTTTATGATGAGAACGATATTTAAATCTCTCTATTTAATTTTCTGTTTTGTTTTCAATAAATTTTTAATCAATTAAACACGTTAGAAATTCTTGAGATCAATTTCTTTCTCTCAACACCAATTGATAAAAATTTATTGAAAACAAAACAAAAATTAAATAGAAAGATCCAAATAAGAGAATATATCTCTTATCGAATATTACCATTTAAAAATATCTATCATTAAATCAAATATTAATTATTAATATTTTTTTTATTAAAAAAAATACATCAAAAAATATTTTAAATATGAATGTTCGAAAACACTTTTTCATTAAAAAAATTATCTTTTAAATAATTGAAGTACCAGTACTGTAGTAGTACATTTTATAAACTACAACTATTTGTATCGATAAAAGCAAATAAAAACTGACACATAGGTAGCTTTATCCTCTGAAAATGGATGAAATTGTTTTCTTTCTATAAATTCCTTTTACCGAAAGTAACTTTATTTGAGTTGTTTCAACTAACTACATTTACTACCTTTACCCATCGGAATTAAAAAACTACTCATGTTGTTGTTGAAACGTACACAGTACTGTAGTTTATGGTTTGATCAAATAGCAAATTAAATAAGAAAATAGAGCAACAAATAGAAGTTGCTAATTCAGGAGATGTTTTTTTTTTTTGTTTTTTTTTTACGTATTACAACAACAACAACAACAACATAGTAATTAATAACAGTAATAGAAACATCTACAACAACATCAACATAGTTCAGACAATGAAAATAATTAACGTAATTAATTAATTAATTAATTAAGCAGCTTTTGCTGATAAACCTGTAAGATAATAACTACGAGACAATTGATACAAGATTTCATCGAGATCTTCCTGATCATAACCTTCACCAGATTCACCACCTTTGATCTCAACGAAACCACTCTTTCTTTCACCACTCTTATCTTGTTTTGCATGCACTGATCTTAGCTTTCTCATGGCGTTTCTTCTACGATCGTGATCTGCCATCCTACACATGACAAAATTCATTCAAAACAAGAATCAGAAAATATTATTAAACTAAATAAATAAGATAAGAGATCGATGAATAGTAGATTAATTAATCAATTAATTTACTCTTTGGAAAGAGCGAGAGGGTTGGTGATTCCGGAGAGACAGAGAGGAACACCGTGGGTAACACGAAGGTTTAACATAAACTGCATTTTCTTTTGTCTTTTTTTGAGGTAAAGGAAAGAGAATGGGAAGGAAATAAAGAAAGAGAAAGAGTTAGTACTACTGTTTTTCTTTCTTCAGCATTTATGTATGTGTGTGTGTGACGTATCTATTGTCTTATCCACTGAACACTTGTGGAAAAAGGGTAATAAAGTAAAGTGGTATAGTAACTAATAATGTAAATATCTCTCATTATTGGTGCCTTCTTTTGCTTGTCTTTCCCTTTTTTCTTACTAATATATTTATTAAAACTTCCTATATTTTAGAAATAATAAAAGAAAACAATATCATTGTATACTTGTTGCCAATTCCTCTAACATTTTAGTAGAGGATTTTTATTATGAGTGATTTTGTGAGTCACTTTTAGAAAAGTATTATAAAAAATTTCTTAGGTTTTTATCTTCTCTTTCTTTCTTCTATTTTCCTTGACCCTTTGAGTGACTATACACAAAGAAAGTAAAATTATTAGAAATTAATAAGAAAAGTATCGATACTATAAAAATTGAATGTTTTTTTTTTAGTAATAACCATATTTTAAATAAAAAAAATATACAAATACATATATTTCAGAGAAAGTTACGTAAATAACCATGTTTCAGAAAACGTTATAATGCAGTAGTCATCTCAGATGGTGCATGCATTGACTTTTTTAAAGGGACGTCAAATGAGATGACGCCAAGCTATCTCTTAAATTTATTTTCAATTTTTTCTATTTACTTTCGAATTTTCCTGCAGATTTGACATTTCCTGCGGATTTATTTGTGGATTTACCTGTGAATTATTTTTCTGCAGGTAATTCCGTTGGAAAATCCGCAGGTTAGTCTACAGGTTAGTCCGCAGGTAATGTCAAATCTGCAGGAAAATCCACAGATAATTGAAAAAGTTTGAAAAATATATAGGCGGCGTCAATTCAAGTGGCGCCTCCTCTTTAATTCACTTTTTTTGGAAATATAGTTAGATTGGGAATTATTGTGGAAAGTTGGTTAGTTTAGTATTCAAAATTCAAAATTTGGTTATTTTAAAAATAAAATTCTACAAAAATTATATTAAAGATAATGATTGTCACAAGAGTTAGTGATTTTCACAAGAGTTTTGAACTTAGACAATAAACAACAAAATAATTGTGTGTTGTAACTCGGTAAACCACAAAATATAATTTATAAAATTATCAACATAATTTTCTCAAAAAAGGTGTACATTTTTTATTCATAAATATATTCCTCAAATTATAATTAAAAGCAACGAGATTTAAAACAATTAAAACACAACATTGAATTGTATCATAAAATTTAATTCACTTTAACACAAATGAAATTACATCAGTTTAGATAAACTCTACAACTCACTAAATAAAATAAGTAAATGTTTATAATTCAAGTATTATACTATCAGAGCGACACAAAGGTAACTAAAGAATGTATAAATGAATAACGAAGAAGGGCACTAACCATCTTCCACACAATCAGCTTCTAAGGCTCTTCAATCTCTATCTGAATATCTGCACCATAGGCGTAAATTAAAACACAAGAAACAAACAGGGGATGAGAATACATTCATCAATGTTACCAGTGCATCGAACAACAAATGATAGTTCATATAACACATATATTGAATCACTTAAGTCATCACTACTACAAATAAGGGAAAAGACATCGCTTTTTTAGGCTTTTAACAGCGCTTTAAAGCCCTTCCTAAAGCAGCGCTGCTAAAAGAAAAGACAGCGCTTTTTTTCAATGTAAAAGCGCTTTCTTATGCCCACTTTAGACAGCGCTTTTAGAATAGACAACGCTTTTTTTCAATGTAAAAGCGCTTTCTTATGCCCACTTTAGACAGCACTTTTAGAATAGACAGCGCTTTTTTATATATCCTTTTAGCAGCGCTTTTGCTTTAGACAGCGCTTTGTTATTTTTTAAGTTAGGCTTTAGACAACGCTTTCCTTTAAAAGCGTTGTCTATTCCCCCTCTTTAGACAGCGCTTTTCCACTTTAGGTAGCGCTTATTTTTGATTTTTTACAATGCTTTTCTCTTAAAGCGTTGTCTATTGGTCACAATTTTTTTTAATAAAATACCTATTTTGACTTACAAAAGCGTTGTCCAATATATATAATGCATTTTAATCATAATTTTAACCATATTTGGTAGCTTCATTCTAATAAAATATGCATATATAAAAATTCCACACACACACACACACACACACACACACACACACACACACACACACACACACACACACACACACACACACACACACACACACACACACACACACACACACACACACACACACACACACACACACACACACACACACACACACACACACACACACACACACACACACACACACACACACACACACACACACACACACACACACACACACACACACACACACACACACACACACACACACACACACACACACACACACACACACACACACACACACACACACACACACACACACACACACACACACACACACACACACACACACACACACACACACACACACACACACACACACACACACACACACACACACACACACACACACACACACACACACACACACACACACACACACACACACACACACACACACACACACACACACACACACACACACACACACACACACACACACACACACACACACACACACACACACACACACACACACACACACACACACACACACACACACACACACACACACACACACACACACACACACACACACACACACACACACACACACACACACACACACACACACACACACACACACACACATATATATATATATATATATATATATATATATATATAAATTTATGATATATATAAGTTAAAATTCTACAAGTTAAAAATCCTAAAATTCAAAATTGATGTTACATCTGTACATCTTACTATCTTCGAGAATTCTCATGAAACAACAACAACATGAATATCTTAGCTTTATCTTCTATACATGCACCTATAAACTTGGGGGAAAAAAACAAATGATCGAAATTCATAACATGATAATATTAACGTTGCACTTTATTCGAAATTAATTTATACTCAAAACTCGAAAGTTCTCATCAAAGGAAATAAGACAATATACCTTAGCTTATAAAATTCTCAACCCGATAATGAATTGACACCATTCCTCCATAAGTTCATCCAATTGATCTTTTGAGTAATGTGCATAATTGAATTCCTCAAAGTACTACATATATAATAATATAACATAGTATGTGATTTAGTTAAAACAATATGTCATTTTATGAGAAACACAAAATATGAAAATAGTATGTAATTCCTAAGTTAGAAATATATACCGTGGATAGAATCTCTAATCGATCCAAAAGAATAGTTTCTTTCATAAACCTCAACATAAAATAGCCGAAATTTATATCGTTACGCTGGCGAGAACACTACACATGGAAAGAAACTACGAATATATATCAGGATATACCCCTTAAATTGTTTTATCAAGTATCATCACTAATGTAATCAAAACTGAATATCTCTTTGTGAAAATATACCTCCACTCTGATCCATGTAACGTTGTTGGCTCTACTTTTTGGCACTTGAATATCTCTTTGGGAGCGAAAAGCTAGTAGAACGCTATAATAAAATATAAACGACTGTTTAGAATAATCTCACATAGAAACATAAACATAAACACAAATCCAGATATGTTGACCATAAACATAAACATAAACATAAACTTGAATATCTCTTTGGGAGCGAAAAACTTACATGTCAATCATCTGCTTTAAATCTGGATATGTTGACCAATCATTGTATAACGAATCTAGATAATACACAGTTTCTCTCATAGGATTAATCGCAACAAATAACTAGTGTCCACTGTAAGATTAAACAAAGATTAAACAATGTCCAAAAATGGAAAATTATAATAGATCAAGTTAGGATGAAAATCTAACCCATTTCCAGTATTATATGGCAAAAAGAACAACTTCTCAGTATCTTTGCTGACCACGAATAAACCGAGTACATATGCTATGACATAATCTGGTCTCGTTACAACTAACCCTGAATTGACAGTGTTGGGAGCTAAGAAGCCAAATCTTGCTTCTAATCCATGCGAGCGCACAATGTTGTCATACATAAACCTTAAATTAAAACATCATTAACATTATACTATATTCATTGAAATGAGGAAATAAATTGTTCATCTAATTAAACAAATTTGATCGGAGTATACCTGATGTATGTACCGATAACACCGAGGCCTAATTCCAAATGTCTAAAAACTTGCTCCATATCCTCTCTACCAATTGCTTCCATGTATTCAAAACTAAAGATGTCTGCACTCATAGGTATAAGGTGGGTACCACAATCCTAAATATTTGTTATTCCTAAATATGTCTGAAGGCACGACCTGAACTGAGCAGTAGTTTGTTTACTAGCCATGGTCTTCTTAGCAACATTCTTTTTTTGTATGGAAATAATGCTAATTTCAGGCGCCTTACCCCTACTGACTTGTGCAATCTCTTTAGCATGAATCTAGTTATCATATAATTAGTTAGGGGAAGTATAAAATCAAAAATTAGCATTTCTCATAGCATAAATGTCATATAATTGTGTTGTACCTCAATTGATGCAATTGACTCGGTCTCCCGCCTAATCCCCTTATCTTTTGGAATGGATTTTGTTGGAGTCTAAAATTACCATGTAAACAAAATGTAAGTAAAATTGCCTTAAAAAATTTAAATAGTAAACGATTTTAAGCATACCTCATTATCTACACAAACGAGGCTTGACAACCATGCAATAAACGATCTTATTGCATCTGCCACCAATGTTGCATCTGCCACATCATCGGGTAGCGGTAACAATGCACCCCCTCTAAAACAACATCAACCGATACTTTCAAAAATCCATCTGGGAGCGGTTTATGGTGAAGCATTTCTCCCGAAGTATTATACACTTTTCCCTTGCCAACTATCCGATAAGCCGGTGCCGACAAATAG